CGAGAAACCCAGAAAAAGGAGACGGGCCCGCAAATCTTGTGGAATACTGGGAAGTATTCCACAAGTTTGGGGTTTCCAGCCTTGATGCTTCAGTGTGTTCCGGTTTGTGGGTTTTTATTCCTTCCTCCGCATGATCAGCCATTGCAACACTGCCTGTTACAGCCCATGAACCTCACATCCATTTATGGCTTCCGTAGTTTTAGACATTTCCTTGTCCTCTCTTTCAGGGGTCTCTTACCTTGTCAACTCTTAAGACTTGTGGATTTCAACTCCCAGAATCCGTCAGCCAGCCACGTCTTTAAGTTGCCAAGGTTGGAGACCCCTGCTGTACTTGGATCTTGGGTTGATGCCAGGCAGAGGGAAGCAGTGGATGTCACGCAATATGCTTGCTGCTTTTTGATGGACGGGAGGTACTGTACAATGGTTGCATAGATCAGCCAAGAAAGAAACTAGATATAAGTGGGGTTTTGCCCTCCTGGGAAGGTTAAAAAGCTAAATAAAAGATGTGGGAAAGAATTGAGCTAAGGAAATTGGTACTGCAGCCGAATAAACTAAAGTGCAGAATTTTCTTACGGGAGAAGCATCTCAAGGCTCCTGCTGCTATGAGGCTGGTGCTGTCAAACCTGAGATTCAGCTCTTCAAGCATGCTTGTATCACTTGGTTTTGTAGATCGGCGTGGTGGCGTGAACAGAAAAGTGTGCAAGTACCTTGCTCTGGAGGCTGGAAAGGACTCTTCCCATGCTGTCTCATACCCGGAGGAAGAGAGTCTGCCTGATGTGGGAGATGTGTCTTCTATACTTTCATCCTTCCAGAAGCAATCAACTTCCTTTCCCAATTTTAAAGTTCCATTACTAGAGCCTAACCAGCCTGCAAACAATAATCTTCTGGATCTCACCAAAATTGGAGTCCCATTTGATCCTGCAGGTGCAATTTCTTTGTTGCTTTGTTAAAAAAAACACACACACACACACACAACACCCAGTGGAGAATAAATTGCTCCTTTGTGACTGGCAACACGACTTGAAATATGGGAGAGGTTAATGAGGACTTGTTTCCATCAAAGGGGGGAAAAAAAGATTTATTAGATTGTGTTGGTGTTTGAACATCAGGAATTCTGTTTTATAAGACCAACAATTTGCTTAGTCCGGTATTCTGTTTCCCACAATAGCCAATCAGCAGCCATTGGATGTTTTCAAACCTGATTCAGCTCTGGCATTCAGTACTTTATACTGCCCTGTGTCTCTAAACAAGTTGCTTCACTCTAATTGCTAACAGGCAAGGAGTATATCCTTTCCATATGTATATATAAGCCACTATTGTCTATGTGGCACGGCAGTGAATTCCAAATAATTATAAACTGGGCAGGAAAAAAATATTCTGCTAGTTTCCAATAAGTCATTTTAATAGGGAAGCTCCCTCACCCGCTGAAATATTTTTAGACAGAACTTGACATTAAGATGCAAATATTTTTGGTTACTTGAAATAGATTTTCTCATTAAACTCGTGGCATGCAGTAGTTTAGCAGCTTCCTTGCTAGTCTCTGCTAAATCCACAAGTCTGTTAAAATCATTCCATCCTGAGTATGTTATATTTTTTCATTTTCCAGAGTTGTTGCTTCATCTAGATTAAATATTAATCCATACATGCATACATGAGCATGTCTTCCTTCCTTCCTTCCTTCCTTCCTTCCTTCCTTCCTTCCTTCCTTCCTTCCTTCTTCCCTTCCTGATTTAGGTCTGGTTTTCATCAATTTTCAGAAAAAATGTTCTTAACATGGAGAAAACGTTATTCTATTCAGATTTTGTTTACAATAAGACTTATTTTTATAGCCCACAGAATATAAATTGGATTCTAAAGAGTTTGTCCCTCTGTCTTTGTAACTGTTGTTGACAGGCTGGAATTTTGATGGTGACCAGGAATATGAGGATGAGAATACATTTTCTGCGTATACAGCACAAATGGCTTACAATAAACTGCATCAGTACAGTGGGGGCCCTGGACACACATTGGTGCGGTAGGAACTGAGTGTTGTATTTTCATATTTTGTGAAACTGAATTCCTAAACGGCTGTGGGTTTATACTAATCAGACCATTTTTGAAATGTTTGTGGCTTTTTAAAATAGATAAGGACTTTTTGAAACCAAGAAGCGTGCCATCTCCATTCTAAAGCAGATGAAACGGGGGTCTTTGAGACCTCAGTTGCTCACTTAGATTTGGCTGCTGTGACTTGCTGTAGTTCATCTTATCTAAAAGCAAGTGTTGTCAGTTATGATTAATACAAGTTAGACCTCTTTACTTCCCTGCATTCAAAAGAGAGGAAGTTTACTTTGTAATACGGTAGATGGTTAGAGAGGAATTAAGGATTGGGGAGAAATTGCGAGTTAAGTGAGAAAGCTTTGAGGATGGAGCCTCTGTAAACCAAAAGCAGCCATTAAAAAGATTATTGACACCTCGTCCCCCTGAAACAGAGAAAATCCCCTGTAGTCCTTCCTTTTCTTGTGTATCTTCATTGTCTTGATAACATCTCAATCGCTTTCAGACAAGAGCTTGTGCACTATCACTCCTCTTGTGAAGAAGAGGAGGAAGAAGGACCCAGAACCAGTCCTTGGCTCTCCATTCAGTCCCCTTTGAAGTTCTCCAGTGGTAAGTGGCTGCCTGAAAATATGCAGGGGGGAAAAAAGCATTGCTGAAGAGGCAACAAGGCAAGCAGTTTAGTAAGAGTGAAACTCTATGAAATTTAGTATGTTTTATTGGTTAAGAGGCTTGAAAAATACTACTGAGAAGTACGGGTGCTGTTAGTAGGGTTGTTCCTTATTACTTTCAACTGCTTCTAAAAATGAGTACAGGTAGTCCTTGACTTACAACCACAATTGGGAACAAAATTTCCATTGCTAAATAAGCGAGTCTCCCCCGATTTGTGACTTTTTGCTATTCATGCAATGCATACGTGAATCTGACTGACACCCCACCCCGCTGACTTTGCTTGTCAGAAGCTAACTAGAAAAGTTGCAAACGGCGGCCACGTGACCCCCGGGATGCTGCAACCATTGTAAATAACACGGGAGTTGCCAAGGGTCCAAATTTGATCATTTAGATTTTTAGATTTTAGATTTTATTGACATTTGTAGGCCGCCCTTTTCCCTGAGGGGACTCAGGGCGGCTCACATAANAGCCAGGGAAATAGGTATGTATTTGGTGTCACAACCCCTGGTATCCCCAAATATGGGAGGAAGCCCACTGCTTCCATTCTCTGTCTATCGGCTCATCACAAGAGTCCATCACGACAGAAACCCAATATTTTTACTGTTGCCTTTGTTATATTTGTGTTTTTTTATTTGTGCTGTATATTTGTGTTTATTTGTGCTGATCTCCCTTTATTTATTTATCAGCACAAATAAAACACACACACACACATATATATATAGACATACACACCATTTATTTGTGCATAAGTAGTTTAAAAGGGGACGGGACCAGTTATCCTTCTGAAATATGGTACATAAATTAGTGTTTCAAATGTCATGGCTGGGGCACTCTGGGAGCTGAGGCCTATACACCTTCAAGTTGGGAACTTTGAGGAACGCCGCTTTATTAATTAAAAACGAGGGAGGAGCCAGGCAGGTTTACAGCCATCCCTCCTCAAAGAGAAGCACCATCCACCCATCACCACACAAAAAGGCAGCCCTTTGCCTAACCCCGCGCCTTTTATACTACTACCCCCCCTCCCCCGCTTCCTCCTTTTGGCGGGAAACGAGAGCGGGCGCCATCCGATTGGCCAGCCTCTGTGTCTCTTAAATCCCCATTCCCCCCTCCCCTCCCCTCGCTCTCCGAACCAATCGGCTCACTCTGCCAGTTGCTTGTGCCGTGGGGGGATTTGTCCCCACCCACCGCTCTGGGGCCTTTTCGTGAGCGAGCTCCGCCCACTTCCCGGCGCGAGCGTCCCTGAATTGCGCGGGCCCCGGTCTTGTCGCGAGCGCGCGCCGCTGTGGCTGCTGCTGGCGAGCACCCGCCCTTCCTTCCCCTCCCACAGCGCTCGTGCCCGCCATAAAGGCAGCGAAGGTATCCTGAGGGGATCCTCTCAGCTGCTCGCCTCCCTTCCATTAAGGGCTTCCCCCCAATTGCTAGTTTATTATGATCTGAGGAATTGGGGAGGGGTGTGTATCCCCCCCCCCAATCTTCCTCCCTTCCTCTCCTCCTACCACCCTCCCCCTCAAAATATACATAAACTCTTATCCTCTCTTTGGTCAAAAAAAAANAAGGATGGAAGGCTGAGTCAACCTTGAGCTGGTGAGATTTGAACCGCCGAACTGCAGATAGTAGTCAGCTGAAGTGGCCTGCAGTACTGCACCCTAACCACTGCGCCACCTCGGCTCCTTGTCAGAGGAGCGACAAGGGAGATTAGGTCTTTGGAAGACCCCCCCCCCAAACAAAGCTGGTCCCTGACTTACCTACAGACCCCCCGCTGTCATCTCCCAACGCCAAAGGGGGTGTCATCAAAAGCCAAGAAGAGACACCGGCAGTTTTCTAAAATCGCCTCTGGAGCAATTTTGAAACATCTGATCCAAGCCCAGCTCACTTCTTCCTCTGCTGCTTCTGCCTTCGGATCTTTATAAACATTAGATCCGATAAGTCCCAGTCGGCATACAAAAGCTGTTGCATTTTGCACAGAAAGGGATAAAAAAACAATCAGGGCCGGGGCAGCCAAAAAGAGATCTGCCTTGCTGCAGTTAGAGAGAAGAATGGACAAAAAAGAACAACCGGAACACCAATCAGATGCATTTCAGATTCTCTGGGATGAGACGTGGAGCAAAGTTGTCATCGTATTGTGGAGTTGCAGCCCTGAAGTGTGTGTGTGTGTGTGTGTATGACAGCAATAAAGGAGGGATCGCTTCTGCTATCATAAACCCCTAATTTTCTCAGTCTCTGGGCTGCTGTGAAAGAGCCACATGGTTCACACAAACATTTCCTACGAAGAGACTCAATTCAAGGCAAACATCATTTACCCTGGCTTTGTGTTGTTCCTGGTATTTGCATTAATGATATATAGGAACAGAGATTTGGTGTGTGGGGGCAACACTGCAAATTGCATTATCCCAGAATTCTGAAGGTGTTTATTCTGGACTTCGGAAAAGTCAGCAAGTGGGTATCTCTTAAAAAGCGTTGTTTTTTTTAAAATTATTTTTACATCAAGGAAGCCCGTAGACACGTCTATATTTTTTTTTAAATCTGCCGAGAAAGAAATCAAAGGCACCGTAAAAGCTTTTTATCGAATGGAACAGTTCATTAAACCCGTTAAGCTGCTCGGATGCTGAAAGGAACCAAGCACAGCTGTGAATACAGCCTGGATAAATAAATACACAATCCCCAGCAGCAGAATGCAAGCCTAATCGAGGAATATCAACTTGGTTGAAAAGGTCACTCATTGCAGGCTAGTTTCCCTATCTGCAAACCAGCCAGCTTTTTAATTTGTGGGCGAAATTTCAGGTTGATGTGTGTTTTGTTATATATGCGGCCAACTGTTCTATGAAAACCACAATTGCCTTGGAGAGCTAAATCAACATTGTTTGAATAAACATTCATTATTTTGGGGCAGAAAGAAGGGATTTTAAAGAGAATGAAAGGGTCAGAAGAAAGCAGACTCTCTCTCTCTTTTTTTTTGGATGGCTCCTTTTGCTCAAGAGTTGTTATTTATATTATTTTCCCTGAATTTTAGTTCAAAGGTTATTATCAAATTCATTTGCCGCCTATCTCATGGTTCAAGGTAATATTAAAAATATCTTATTTTGGAAAACATTTCTGTTGCAGAAAATGACAGGCGTTAGACTTCTCAGGATACAGGACAAGTTTATTTGGCAGCCAGGTTCAGAAAGCTACCCATGGCTAACATTGCAAGTTCTGAACAACCTTAATTATCGAAGCACACGTTCTCATACGTTCTCAAAAGCATTGCAACACGGAAACACTTAACTCATTTCTTAGTGGTTACCTGGAGGAGAAAGCCTTATAAGGAGATGGGGTCTTACTTCTCCTTTTGTTTATGGAGTACGTGTCATTAACGAACTTTTAATTGAACCTTGGACTTTTGACATGGGTTTTGACATAGGCTTTTGACATAGGGACATCTTGTGGTTAGGCACTTGTTTCCNGGTGGTGAGGGTACGAATCTCCACGGGGAGTTCGTTCCAAAGGGATGCTGGGATGCTGCGGTGGTTTTAGAGGACTGGTCCAGCCTCACTTTTTTCAGTGCCGTTGTAACTTTGAGCGGTTGCTAAGTGATTGTAAGTGGAGGACTTACCTGTATGTTGAAATAAATAATATCCTATGCATTTGATTCCTTTGATATTGCAGTGGGAAGCATGCAGCTGTGCTCCCCAGGAATTGAAACCCGAAGCCACAGCTGTTCTGATTTGGGGTTGAGCCCTTCACTTTTCTCCTCTCCTGCTCGGCTACTCCCCACACACGTTCTCCAAGGGGTTCAGGAGGAGCTTTCTCCAGGTAAATTGGCAGCAAGTGGGGAGGGGATCCTTCCCTGGGTGAGATCAGTTCGATAGGCAGCCCCCTTTTCTTTCTCCAAAAGCTTATCGTGTTTCTGACCAAAAAGGATGGGATTGCAGCCACATGCCCATTTCCTCCTAAGTTGATCTGTTCCCCTCTTCAAATATGAGCAAAACAAGTGGATTTAGAAAGATCTCCCAGGAAGAGGAATATTTTAAAGCTGTCAGCATTACTGGCTTGTTGTGGGCAACAATTCCTGTGGGAACTAAACACTGAGCACCCGAAGACTTTATGAATCCCTGGGAGCAGATACCTGCAATGTTGCGGTGTGACTGTTTGAAGGAGGAGTGTCACCCTCCAGTAAATGTGACATTTGGAGAAGGTGAAAAGAGGGAAAGGGAGAACAAATGGCAAAAGTTGCTTCCCTGGAACCTTTTCTTGAAATGGGATGAGGGAAGCAGATGGCCTTTAAAACATTTTTCAGAGAACCTTTTGCTTCTTTGCAGTGTTGTTCGAGGATGTGTATTTGTCTCCCCAGTCCAGCAGTTTTTCGCACACCCCTGCTGGAACACTGTTGAGAAAGGTAAGGTCTTTGCTGCTCAGCTTCACATATTACATTCTTTCTTCACATATTACATTACATTCTGAGCCAAGGTGGCGCAGTGGTTAAATGCAGCACTGCAGGCTACTGCTAGATCAGCAGGTCGGCGGTTCAAATCTCAC